AAATCCAATTAAACTATCATTCTCAATAAAAATAGAATTTCCAATATAATTTGATGTATTTTATAATTTTTTATTCTGTTATCACGGATTATATGTTGAAGACATGAGAACAAAATTGTTTTAATTATTTATAAATAATTATGATAATATTAATAAATTCATTGTGACTGTGTTCACGGATGTGCATTATTTTTTGTTTGGTTTAAGAAATATCTTGTAATTATTTAAATAGAAAATAGTTAATATTATTATTATTTTCATATAATTATCGATATAGCCATTATGAAATTGATTAGATTATTGTATATAATAGCTTGTACGTAGAGAAGCAATTTATGGAATTATTAAAGTATTTAATTATGTAAATTATTATTATAAATGATATTAATTATTGTCCTTGATAGGGTTTATTTAAATTTGTGTATTATCAATTTTCCGCGAGAGAGAAATAATTATTATTATATATTTAATTATATATATATTAATAAAACTATTATGAGAGAAGTTTATTATAAATAATGTATAGAATATGCTTGCAGAGAGTCAAAAACAATTTATATATTTATTAAATATTCTTTTTTATTTAATTATATTTACTTGAATTTTTGGAGAGATATTTTTCAATACTATGATTATTTCAATAGACCCATTATGAAACTCATGAAACTTATGAAACTATTATATATAATAGCCTTTGAACAATGTGTTATAATAACGATAAAAGTGACGATAGGGAAAGGTCATGCGCGGAATCAAAAGGATGGAACAGCCCAGAGAGTAGCTTTCTGTGCAAGCGTTACTGCTGTTCGTAAGAAGTGAAACGAAAGGGCGCGCCCATTCGAAATGAAAAGTGCAAGGATATTAAAAGAACTACGATAACAATGCTAATCAAAATAATAATCAAATTACTACTGCATTTTGTCTCCAAACAACAAGAAAAAAAAAAAGAAGAAAATACAAAGAAAAATTTATTACAATTACATTCACACAGTAAGATAAATAGATAAATAATAAAGTAAGAAATTAAGGTGAGAAAACGAAAATGAAGGGAAAAAGACAAATCAGAAATGACGAAAAATAATGGATTATAAAATAGATGAATGATTTAATAATCCAAAGTGTAGATAGAGAGAAAATGGCCGGTAAAAGAGGTATAGCATTTTCAACGTTTAACTATTAGTCGAGTTTAACCACTTGCCTGATAAATTTTGAATATTTTTCTGCAGGAAAAAATAAATGTCAGATTTATTAAATCGTTCATTCTCTGATCTTATGTATTTTGTTCTTTTTTCGACAAAGAAAAGACAATGAATTGGAAAAAAAAAAAAGTATAGTTAAAAGTAATAAGTTCAAACTTTCGATTTACTTATTATAATTTATTTGTAATTTTGTTGTCATCAAAATATGCATAATTTCCAATAATGTAAAAATTCATAAATTCAATATATTTATTATTATTACGATGCCCGTGTTAAACTTGCTGGGGTAAATTCATTTTGGTAACCAGGAGTTCTCCGTGTTTGACACGGGCATGTCAGATAAGTGGTTAATATCGTTATACTCTAACAATAGTAACTTACTTATATGAAACTTTAGTATGAGCAAGTTGTTTTTGTTAGCAGAGAAAGATAAGAGATCAGTAAGGGTAATAAGATATGCATTGATCAAGGAGAAATGATCGAGTCTGTAAACTGGATGCGAACATTCAAAAATCCCGCTGGGATGTTATATTACAAGATAACGAATAGGAAAGAGAAAGAGAGAGAGAGAGAGAGAGAGAGAGAGAGAGAGAGAGAGAGAGAGAGAGAGAGAGAAAATAGAAGGAGGTCGTGATCTAGTTGCTCACATATCGCTACTTATTACGAAGCTTTACGATCCATCGCTAATGGCTTCGCTTCGGCTTTACTTTGGGACTATAAATAATTTCCCGATACACCGTTCTCGTTGTTAAAAGAATAGACTTTTCTCATAAATCACACGTAAACGATACGTAAAGCGTGACGCATATGGTTTCAAGAAAAAGACTAAAAGGAAGATGTAAGAGTACGCTCTTGTTATTACGAGAAAGGGTTCAGAAAAAGAGTGAGAGAGAGAAAGAGAGAGATAAAGTAGAAAAAACATGTGTCTATGAATATAGTCTTCTAAGATTTCAAGTTTGTTACTTGTCAATAAATAATAGTTCTTATTATTTCATTGAAATATTTCTTTGAGTTATGTGTGAATAATATTTTGTTATTTAAATAATCACAAGTGTTGTTTCGATTATTGATATAAGTGTATGATTGGTTATTTAATAAATTATTATGTGGAAGTATACACGTATGATAATGAAATTGGAAAATAAAGTTGAGTGAAAGAGAGAGAGAGAGAAAAAACCATTGATTGTTCATAAAAATAATTTAAAGATTTAAAATTCGTTACATTTGACTATGTAAATAATGTTATAATATATCTAATAATATTATAAGTAATATTTTTCATGCTGAAATAATGTAAACAACACATTCTATCTAATATAATTATTATTAATAATATATTTATGAATATATATATATAATAAATGAATAAATGAAAGTACACACGTATGGTAATAAGATTGATGTAATTATTTGGAATTATTCGTAATTAAGAAGAACTATTTGTCTGTAACAGTCGTCGTCGTCGTCGTCGTAGTCGTAAACATAAGCGTACTATTAACGTAATAGATACTTACGACACGAAATAATACTCTCATTCATCAGTGAAGGAAAGTAAAATGATTTAACGTTGGTATCGTTTTCGTACAGTCAAATACTTAACATGTAGAATTCTATTGCGTTTATGAAAGGATACTCGCTCGAATGCACGATTTTAGTAAACACAATAAAATCGATCGGCCGAAATAAATGGTCGATTAAATTCACGCCCGTATTAGAAAGAGAAAGAAAAGAGATAGAGAGAGAAAGAGAGAAAGAGAGAGAGAGAGAGAGAGAGAGAGAGAGAGAGAGAGAGAGAGAGAGATGAGCAATTCTCAAGCATACCCACCAATACATAATGGCCGATTGATTTGATCTCCCGAGAGAGTACGATCACTACGATTTACATGATAAAAGTGGATTAAATTGGGGAGAAGGAAAAATAATAAGTATAAAACGGGAAGTGTGCTAAAATCTGAAAGTAATCGTTCATTCGTTCATTCGTTCGTTCGTTCGTTCGTTCGTACGTTCATGTTAAACGTTTTATCTCATTTTAAATAGAAATTAAGTAAAAAGTAGAGATAGCGAGTTAAAGAGAGAGAGAGAGAGAAATAGGGTGAGATAATAAAGAAATTTTATCAGAATAGTATAATATTTGAAGAAATGATAATATATATTATATAATTATATTAATTATACTCTCCTATTATATGAATATAATATTTATATTACATGTTTTTCAATATGTGAACGTAACAAGAGAAATTAGAAAATTACTCTGATTTAATTATATAATATTAGATAAAAAAAAAAAGGAAGTATGTGTTAATAAGTTCCAACCGATATAACAAAAGAAAATGATTTTTATTAATTCGATTATAAATAGATATTTGAAGAGAAAAATTGGGCAGCATTTTTGAGGAATCGGGTAGAAGCTTTTAAAGCTTCCTTCCCGCGACAACCTCACATTTTTCCTCCGCCCTTCAATCGCGACGATAAAAAAGAAGAAGTAAAAGTTCGAATATTATATTCTCGACTCGATTATATTACATAATATTTAATATAAATTTCCTATCCATTATATATATATAATATTTCATACACTTTTAATCTAAAACTTGTGCTCTCCTACTATTCCAACTATAACGACGTATCGAGTTTTGTTTACTTTTTCTCTTTTTCCTTCCTCTCTCTCTCTCTCTCTCTCTCTCCCTCCCGGCCCTTTCTCTTCTTTTTTTTTTTATATATATATTTTTTAGACTGCAGTAGAGTACGTGTAAGCTTTTATCGTCGTCTACGAAGTTATTTCGAGCGAGTAATATGCGTACACTTCGATCGTATCGGATCGTTATATAACGCGAAAAATATTGGAAATTTCAATTTTAGGGTAGAAAAGTACGAACAGAATGTAAGAGATATATATATATATATATAGAGAGAGAGATAGAAAGAAAAGAAAGAAATAAAAATTGCATGATCGAGAAAGAGAGTGTGCGATAATTTTTCATCTAATTAATAATTTAATAGACACACAAATATATCCAGAACGCATTTTTGTCTCATTTTTTCATTTTTTTTTTTTAAATTGTAATCGTAATCACTCTTAATTCTCGATTTGTCGATGTAACAGTATCCTTTTTTGTTTTTTTTTGTTTCCATCTACACTCGAGTCCTTCGAACAAAATAATCCTTTGAAAATCACGTACTTTCGAAAGCTACGATCTTTTTCTTCTCCCTTGGGAGAATGAAAAAAAAAGAATGAAAAAACGTCGTATAAAAATTCTAGTAGATCACGAGTGTATATGTAACTACGACAATGGACGAGAAAAGGGTAACACTTTTTTGTATTCTCTTTAATTCTTTTTCTTTCGAATAACTTTCGAGTACAACTTCGTGTGTACGAACGATTAAAAAAAATAATCAAAAATTTATTATATTAAGAAATGCAATTTGTATTTATTTCCTCGAAATTAATTCCATGATTGTTTTTATGAGATATTTAATAATTATTTTATAACATCCAAAAAATATATAATATATAATAGAGAGTTAGAAAAAGAAGAAAAAGAAAAAAAAAAAAAAACAATTTGAATATTATTGTTCAATACAATCACAAACTCTAAGATTATTTTTTTATGAAATACTAAAATAATTGTTTTCTAATATCATTTGACTAATTAATATATATTGAATATTAAATAATTATTGATAATAATATTATCAAGAGTAATATCGAGAAGATAAATAAACGAATAGTGATAATAAAAATGAAAATTAGAGCAACTGGTAAAAGAAGGATATGAAAAATGATATAAAATCACTCACATGCCTGTTAGTCTCATATATATGTATATCCACTTCCTCGTATCACCGTGCGTGATCACGCAAAATCAGAATAAACGTGGTGTAGTAGCAGCAGCAGTTTTCGACGTACATGACGATAGAATTTCCTTTGATTATCCTCTCCTTTTTTTCTTCCTTCGTTTTCTTAGTTTTGTTTTCTATCCTTTGGTATTGTTGCCTTATAGTCGTATTTCAAAGATAATACAGTAAAAAGGACGACGACATCGTACACGATGTGTGTATGCGTGCGTGTATCGAAAAATCTCATCGAAGAAGAAGAAGAAGAAAAGAAAAAAAGAACTCAATGAGAATAAGAATGAAGACAAGAACAACAAAAAACAGATAGGATATAATTATGTATAATAATAATTGTGTTTTTTCTTTGTCATCAGGCGAACGACGACTCACATGATCGTTAACACATCAGTCGAATGGTGGTGGTATTCATCTTGCGATAATATATATTATGCATATCACCGTTTAGATATACGTAAAAATAGATGAAATGTGGACGACGAGCACCGCTCCCGTAGGAACATGATCGAGTTATTTGTCTCGATCAAAGACTATACTCGCACAGCTTTAACTATATATTCTATGTATATATATATATATATATATATATATATATATATATACGTTATATATATATATATGTATATATATATGTATATATATATATATATATAGATAGAGAAATGGCTAGTCCTTGTAGTAAATTCTTATGGGCCTTTTGGTCCTATTTTGGGTTTTCTCGATAGTGAAATCCAGTAGAAAAGGAACGATAATGTTCAGACGTGTAAACGTCGAGACAGTCCGAAGGATTGAGAGAAAGCATGCAAGTAGATAATACCGCGCGCGTAGTCAGACAATAGTCGGCCGGACTGCCAGCAAGTAAGGAAAAGAAAAATCAAAAATAGGAAGAAACGAGAGACAGATGGAAGAAGAAGAAGAAGAAGAAGTATGTACGGAGGGTTAGACAGGGAAAGAGAGAGGAAGAGAGAGAGAGTAAGGAATAAAATGGAAGGGAGGAGAGGGAGAGAGAGAGAGAGAGAGAGAATACAACGCGTGGACACGGAGAGGCGCGTAAACGCCAAAAAGAGTGTTCTTTATAAAAGTGTAATTTGTAGGTGCCTTGGAGCAGCACCGGATACGAAGAAAAACAGAGAGTAAAAGAAAGAGAAAGAAAAGTAGGAGCGCGTGAAATGATAAAAGCTCCTTCGTAGAAGAGTAGTAGTACACCGTGAGCGAGTCAACCAGCGAGAGTATACGAGTGAGTGTAAGAGAGAAAGAGAAAGAAAAAGAGAAAGAGAGAGAGAGAGAGAGAGAAAGAGAGAGGGAGAGAAATAGAAGAGAGCGCGTATTTGCGTTGGTTTCGCTTGTTTTTGGCGTGCACGGATGAGAGAAACGAATAGAAAGTGAAAGAGAAAGAGAGAGAGAGAGAGAGAGAGATAGATTGATAGATAGAAATAGAGTGAGGAGAGTGGATGATACAAAGCGCGTGGAACACCGCCCGCCCGTTGGTTTCGTCCGACCGACTGTGACTACTATCCTCTGGCAGCTCTTTCGAATATGACTTCTCCTTGAGAGGGGAAAGAGAGAGAGAGAGACGAAACACAACGAACCGAAGGAAGTTCGGGTACTTTCTGCACCCTACGCCCGCGGTAGGACTACGGGAGCGCACTAAGGGCGTGGGCAATTCGAGGCGGTGGAAAACGTAGAGACCGAGAAAGAGAGGGGTGTTCCCGGTTGCGCGCCGATGCTGCTCCTGCTCCTCCTAGTGGTGGTGGTATTGTCTTGGTAGTGGTGCTACTGATGCTACTATTCCTCTTGGTGGTAGTGATGATGATGGTGGTGATGGTGGTGGTGGTGGTGATGGTGGTGGTAGTTGCATCGCTGGTGGCGACACAGTCCTCCTACTAGACTACATTGATTTTGATTTTCGAAGGCGCGCGCACTTGGCCCCTGGTTCGGCCCATTCATGCCGCCGCTCCCGTCGATGATGACGACGACGACGACGACGAAGAAGACGAATACGACTATCAGCACGATTACCAAGGACTTACGTCTTCGTGTACTCTCGTTTAACGCTGGGGGAACTTAGCCCCTCAAAGGAAGAGAGAAAATCAGGGGAGAGAGATAGAGATGGATCAAGGGGTGGAACACTAAAGAGATCCCTTCTTCTCTTTCCTCTTTCTTTCTTTTTTTTTCTTTTCTTTTTTTTTCCTTTATTTTGTAAGATCGTGAGAAATGAAGTGTGAGAGAGAGTCGGCGGAAAACCGGGCGTTACTATTCACACAGTCGAATATATGTTTTTTATTTGATAATACGACTGTTTATTAGTTACTTTATTTTTTTCTTTGTTATCAATACGATCACCATAATTTTACTTTTGTGGAAATGCAGGATTGGAAGAATGCAATATCGGGAAATGTATAACTAGATTTTGAACCTTAATTTATGATATATATATAAAGACTAGATAATAAAAATAGAAATTTATCGCGGAAATTTTCGAAAACAAAATAGATTTATCATATATCAGTATTTTATTTCTTCTTTCTTCTTTATTTATAGATTACACATGCACTATCAATAATGACGTACATTTCTGTGTCAGGTTGATATCAAGATCGCAATAATATAAATTCTTATTCCTTTTTTTTCCTTGTTTTTTTTCGTTTTTTTTTTTGTTTATGCAATGTATAAACGGTAGTACGTACGTACAATGAAAATACATAGCAGCGTGAAAGTCATTTGTATTTGGATACAAATGAAAATGTTCTCTTATTTTTTTTCTTAATTTCGATCAGCCATTTTCTCTTCTAAAATCCGCGAGTCAACAAAGCGAATAACGCGTGTGACAGTATACAAAGGGCGATTGCGTGCGATTCGCAATTGTTCTACTTATCAATAAATAAATATTCATTAGGACGAATTTAGATCACATAAAGTATCCAAATCCAAATGTTCGCTTAATAGCATCCCAATAATACCTTTCCCAATTCTCTTTTGTTGAATCCTCTTCGCTGTAAGATCACAATATTTTTGTACAATGTTATAATAAATTAAACAAATATTTAATTAATTAATTATAAGAAAATGTAATTAATTACCTTGATGGAACATCAACTTGAATTAGATTGACTTCCGTATGATCATTCTTTTCACAGATGTTAATAGTTACTTTACTAAAATGTCCCGATGGCCACTGTTTGCAGCGCCATTTTTGTACTATCTTCGTAGGAGAAATTTCGATAAAATCTCCATATATATTTCCGCCAAATAATTCGAACTTTCCGTGCTTTTTCGGCTCGAGTTTGACGGGACCTTTCGTAAAGGCTTGAACCATCTACAAAATTAGATAAGACAAAAATGAATCAACGTATATATGCGCCATTTTATATAAATAAGAAATTATTATTAAGTATACAATTATATACCTCTAACGTAGTAAACACATTATAAAATTCTTCGGCTCTACATTGGAACTTTTGTTGCTGTTTTATAGTAGTAGTTGAAATTTTACATCCTAATACGTTATTTTGTTCGGCTTGTTTAGGAGCAATATTCATTTGCATCTATAAAAAAAAACATGTAATTGTATTAAGAATACAGTTATGAGTTATTTTTTTTTAATAAGAAGTGAATGATAAACTTTGATACTCACTTTAACGTTAAAGCCAGATGTTATGTTCGTAATATTGTCACTCACATTATCTTTTTTAGGAAGTATCATTCCTTTCGTGAATTCTACAAAATAAATATTTGTTATAATATATAAAATTGATATACTTTCATATTTGTCTTGTTTATTTTTTTACTCGTTCGTACCTTCTTTCAGAGAGGACACATATTTCTTTAATTTTTCTCTTATTAATTCTTTTCCTTTCGTATGCAAGAAATGTTTTACTTTTTCACCTTCGTCAGTGCTATCTTTCAATGTAATTTCAATCTGTAATGGAATAAATGATTTGTCACTTGAGTGACAAATACTAGTACAAACTTATAATGCAATAAAATATTTAAAATATAATTTTTTTAAAATATATGAGTATATGAGAGGATAAATTTGGATTAATATAAAATACTTACATCTACTTCACTTATGTCGTTCTCTTCCGATAGATTTGGAATGTTAATTTTCCCTTCAATATCTTTATCTGATTTATCAAGCGATGTCCACTTGAGCACGATATTCCATTCGTAAAAGAAAATTAGTTTTCCTTTTCTATTATTAGCTACAGCCTCTCCTTCGCATTTCTCAATCTCTGTCACTTTACAGGATACTGAAAAAAAATAAACCACAAAATTAAAACCAATGTGTTATTATGTCTTTGTCGTTGCCATTATCTTACATTACCTCCATCACCGTCAATGATCAGATTTGTGAAAAGATCTTTAATTTTTTCCTGCGACCAAGCGCATGCATTTTTTTCTGTCCTACAATTTGTTGACAAGATTAGTATATAATTGTTATTATGATAAATGATTTATATTTACAAATCATATGTGCTTACCAATGCCAATTGTTTACATTGGTGGCATCAGGTCTTTCTTCAACAATCCAGCGTGGATCACCTTCTCCCCACTTTGCCATTTCGATAAAACTAAATTAAGATGATAAAACTCAACTAAAATGAGTATTCTAATTGAATACGACTACTGTGTTCTGAAAATATAAAATAATTTCTAATTATTATTTAAACAAATACAAAGACAATGTGGCATGTAAGAAATATTTTATTTTTACTACAATAAAATACAATATTGTAAAGTCAGCGAACAACGTATAAGAACTATAAATATCTAAAGTTATTTATTTTATGATTATTTTATTATACAAAAATATAAATTATTGGAATTTTTTTCTTAAATATTTTTTTAACAAACATATCAAATTAAGAAACAATAATAAATTCATAAAAATTATTTTATCATACTAGAATAAGTGATTTAAAAAAAAACCATTTTAACAGAGGACAAGAAAAAAGTACATTTAACATAACCTAGGAAGTACAAAACTTGGTATATAATAAAAATATTAAAAATTAAACAAAAGATATAAAAATATAATTAAAAATTAACAAGAATTATATTCACATAAATGATACAAAGTTGAAGATAAGTAAAAATACTTACATTACTATTTAAAGGCGATCGGCAATGAGTAACTGAGCGATAGTACTAGAAGCTAGGTTTTTTTTTTGACAGTTAGTTCTATACTTAATACAGTTAAACGTCGCTGTTTTACGTGAAAAGTCAAATTTAAAGGACAGAAAATGCTAATCTAAGTACGCGAAAGTTTTTTGAGAAAAATATAATAATTCTTTAACTAAGACACTTGTAAAGAAAACCTTCCCGTTCGGAAGTCAGTCGTTACTATTTATGCAATCACGAAACCTCCTTGCCTACGTTCAAAAAATTTTCTAGAAACTTCAAGACATAGACGCCATTGAAAGCATGCGTGTAGTGTGCGCTAATATGGCGGTTGAATATATGAAGAACCCGATTGCAGCGTCATCTGTACGAAAATTTTTTCATTTCTATATCAACCTGCAGATAGTGTTGAGAGAATAGTATGAAAGAATTGAAATGAGAACACAATAGTCAACATACATATTTCACTTCTATACAATTTATCATCCGTGTCTCTCGATAAAAGCGTGCTTTGTTATCATACAAGTTGATGATGAAGGAATGGTGGGGGTATTTTTGTTATTATTTTTTACATAATTTTTTTCTTATTTTATTAATTTATTTATTATTATTTATTTTTATTATTTAAATATATACATATATATATATGAATAGTTAAGTAATGTTTTTTTTTTACGGATACTCTTTTGATCATGCGTGTTTGAAATTTTATTTTTGTTGAGAACATGTTAAATGTGTTTCATTTGGATTCAGAACAAGTTATTTTGTGAATCATTAATGTTTTATTTTTAGTTTGATTATATTTAGGCAGATTTCAAATTTCTTTTATAGACTCTTCTCTTCTCCGTCGATAATCTTTCAAAGAGAAACAACTGTTTGAATGTAAATAAGTAAGAATGTACGAGAAACATTGTTTCGTGTTATTGCACAATTGTTTACATTAATTAGTATTTTTATTTGAATTATTATTATGTTTTTTAGTTTCGTGTTATGTTCAAGAGATTTCCAATGAAATTAAATTAATATTTCGTAACAACAGATAATTACAAAATATTATAGTAAAAGTTTTTATTGTTTAATTAATAAATAAATGTAAATTATTAAAGTTGAGTATTGCGTAAACTAGTTATACTAATAGATCGCTCTAAAGGATTAAAAATATTCTTTGACAAAATATTCGGATTAACAAATTTTTAATTAGAAAATAATTTGAAAAAAGGAAAAAGAAAATAGAATAACGATCGAAGTGATAAAGAACAGGTTGGTCATAATTGCAACCAGTTTGAATTTAATCCTTCGTTAACTTTCAATACTTATCGATGAATATTCTTTGTTATAACGATTTAGTTAGATTTATCTTTCAAAGAATAAAGCGGAAATTTTAATTACTGGTTGAATTTTTCAAAGTCTCGTTAATAATAACGCATTGAAGAGGGGAAAAAAGAAGAAAGAAGAAGAAGAAGAAGAAGAAGAAGATATTTTATTATTCACAAAATTTTTTCAAAATGTCTGCCGCATTGTAAACCGTATCAGCAAGTTCATAATTACGCGAGATGTAATTTAGTTCGGACGACAAGAAAAGAAAACTTCTTTTGCTTTTCCTTTGGCATCTGGTATATAAAATGATAGACGTAAATATATACTACATAAATATAACACACACACACATACACACATACACATATATATATATACACACTTTTTAAAAGGAAAAATAACGAAGCGGGGAAAGAAAGATATAAGAAAAAATGTATTCTATTCGCGAATCCGTGCCAAAGGTTGCTTCGCATTAATGCGCCATCGAAAAGTTTAACGAAAAGCTATAGAAACATTTTCTCTTGCAACTAACTACCGTCAACACCATCACCATCACCATCACCATCACCACATGGAATTATTATTTTATGTTAAAGCGTGATTAAAAGTTTGTACAGGATCTTTGGATTATTCATGCCAACTCGTAACACGAGTAAGGTAATAACGATCGAAGTATCTCAAGCTATCTCGAGGTCACCGATGAAAAATAGATAAATATTTCTAACGTTACCTGCGATCCTAGCAAAGATCATTTTATGAGAAGGATGCTCTAGGTAGAAATACGTGTAGACTCGGGAAATATTTCAACGTCCAAATTTCTACCTAAGAATAATGGGATTTTTGTAAGTGGTAAGTACTTATGATCGGAAATCATCCATCTTGGGATTTCAATCAAATATGACCGAAGTGGATCGCACTTGATATTCCAATAAAACCTCTTAGGTTTTTTACTTTTAAGGTTAATTGAAGGTACGATCAAAACTGAGAAAAGAAGAAGAGAATCGAGTAAGTAATAATATTTATTTATCTGATCTTCGCGAGGAAGAAGATCGTAAAAGAATAATGTTCAAGCAATTTCATCAGGCATCAGAGTCTCGACGCGTTAAACCCGAGGGTAATTCGTCCGAGATAATATTCGTATCATCTCATTTTTTTCTAATTCTTTTTTCCGTTTCTCTTTCCAGTCTTAGCAGCAACAGCAGCACGACGACGAAGACGAAGACGGTGACGACAACTGAGAGGACAAAAGTTCCGTATGGTATAATAAAAATCCCACTTCAGCTGTTGCCTTTATCAAAGCCTAGGCGCAGTTGTGAGCCATTTGACCCGAGAGACCAAAGTTTCCTCCTGCGTGAGGATCCTCATAGGAGAGCGGTAGCGTAGGCACCCCCTGGCATCTTTTACTCCGTCTCGCTCGCTCTCTGGTCAGCTACGGGAAAAGGTGGTTATTGGTGGAGCGGGTGCATCGGAGAGGACTGTAGGATCCGTAAGTAAAAGGCTCACTCACTCTCTCTCTCTCTCTCTCTCTTCTTCTCGCTCATTCTCTCTCTCTTCTCTCTCTCTCTCTCTCTCTCACACACTTATTCTCTCTTTCTCTCTTTCTCGATATAGAGGTGGACGGTTAGCAGCGGCTCGTGACAGGGAAGGTTGAAGAGGTGATAGTGACGGAGAAGCCAGAGGGAGACCAGGAAGAGTAGGACGTGGAGGAGAAGCTGGAATAGAAGGAGGTGGAGAAAGAAGAAGAGGATGAGGATGTGGCAAATCTGGCGTGGAGGGATACGGGGTGGTGAATGACGTCACGTTGCTAAAGCGACGCGGCAACGCTAAGCGTCTGCGTGGGCCGGTGGTGGTGTCTGGGCCGGGATCAATAGCGCGCCAGCAACCAGGTAGTAGATGTGAGTGCCTGTGGGCTCCTCAACGACGGCAGTCCAGGAGACGAACCTCCCGAGGTAAGACCCTTTCGACGAATCGAGTGGAGCTCCAGTGGCACACCGGACAGCACCATGCCAGAATCACAGCAACAGAGGACCCTGATTATTTAGGACCATCTTCATCTCCAGGTAAGAACGTCACATATTTTTCTATCTCGATCTTTCTCGATCGATTTACCCTACCTTTGAATATATCCTCGCTGCTGCTGCTGCTGGTACTATTGCTACTACTACTCTTACTACTACTATCACTACTTCTCCCTTTCCTTCTCTATTTCATCCTTCTTCATCTCTTTTCATCATCCTTTCGATACGTTCTTTGTCGTCCCGCTTGGAGAGTGGTCCAGGCTCCGGGCAACCCTCCATCGCCCTCTGGGCTCGGCTACCAGGGTAACAGCGAGTTTCACGGATTCTGTGAAATTCCATTGCCCTCTCTCTCTCCCTCCCTTCATTCCTTCCTTCCTTCCTTCCTTCCTTGCTTGCTTACTACTGCTCTCGAATTCTCGAACCTTGCCCCGACCAATTCGTTCAATTCATACCGAGAAAAGAAAGATATTAAGTGAACTATTTTTGAGGGAAGTGAAGATGTCGGGATAGAGCGCGGGAGACCTTACTTACGTAGGTATTACATACATATGTATCATACACATACACATACCCACATACCATCTATACACGTATATGTAAATACATATTTGCGCACGTACGTGTGCATGTGTCTCTGTGTACAGAGGGCGGAGAAATACAGAGAGAGAGAGAGATAGATAGATATATATATATATATATATATATATATATATATGACTAGAGTGAAAGAGAAAGACAGATAGAGGATCCAGATGAAGATGGGATAAAAGGGAATACAGAGAAAAAAAAAAGAAAAAAGAGAAAAAGTTACACGAGAAAGAAATATGAGAATCTGTGCCGGACTTTGCCGTGACGTTTATCAACGCTTTCAAATATGCGGATCGTTCCTCTCTCTTCGTAGATGAAAGTATAATTACCTAGTAGCACCAGCAGCAGCAATAGTAGCAGCAGTAGTAGTAGTAGTAGTAGTAGTAGATAGAATAGTAGTAGTAGTAGTAATAGTAGTAATAGTAGTAGTAGTAACAGTAACAGTAGCAGCGGTAACAGTAGTGCCAGTGGTGGCGGTGGCTGCAGCCTCTTTCTTTCTGCTTCTCTCTCTCTCGTTCTCGCTGTTACTCTCTTACTCACACTCGCATAGCTTTCTGGACTCCGATCAGCGCCACGAGGTGAAAAGTTTGATCCAGGGAGTGTCGTGTGCTCTTGGGGTTTTCCTTCCTCCTTGCCGGATGTATTCTTGCTCGGCGAAGCGATACAAGAGAGAGAGAGAGAGATTCCAAAGATTACTTTTTTATATATACATACACTACCTTTCTTTCTCTTTTTTTTTTGTTATTTTTTGGGTGGGTAGAGGTGGGGATTGGGTGGGTTGTTTTTAAAGTATTTGTGCTTCTTTGGTAAAAAGTTCTTAGTGTTTGTTATTTTAAAGGACATTAATCTTATTTCTGTATGGATAGTATATGTGTGTGTGTGTGTGTTTTTTTTTTTGTGTGTACGAGAAAGAGAGTGAAGGATGTACGATTTGGTAATTTGTCGAATTAATCGTAATACAAGAAAAACTAACAACTATGTTTGATTTTGTTATCATAGAAATTGTCATATTTGCTTGATTCGCTTGACATCGAGAGAAATAATTTTGTCATGTTTATATCGTTTGAATATTTGTATTATATTTTTCTATGATCATTTTTTTATGATTTAAATGTAAAACTTAGTACGATTAGATGTTACAAATATACGTAATTTCGTGAATTTAAAGCTTGTCATTAAATTTTCTAGATTCGTACGAATATTCTTGAATTATTTAAGCATTTTGAGAAAATTTGTGTCGATAATTCGAGCATTATAAAATAAGATACAAATAATGATAATATAATGAAAAATATAAAAATAGAGATGATATACGAATGAGAAATACATCGTAATGTCTGTCATTAGAAAAATGTTGGTATTATTAAACTCCGGTCATCCGTTATTTGATTGAAGAAAGAATTTTCCTTTTAACGTATCGGCAACGTTCGATGTTCGATGTTCCGTCGAACGGGATCCGTAGCTTCGTTAATTGAATTCCGGTTCATACCTCGTTAATTTTTCTCCTTCTGATATATTTTTCTTTTGTCAATGAGATAAAAAGAGAGAATAATGAAGGAATAAAATATTTTTCGTTGACGATAATAGATAGATAAAGGAAAGAAAGTTGGTGCGAGAAGTTCGACGAGTTTTTTCCTGAAAAAATTCGTCGACGTCGAAGATAACGGTTTTTCGCGCGGCTTGGTATCGTTTTTCGTGACGTTCATTGGTGGAAAGGGATAGGCGGAGAAGTACGCGTTGAAATTACGGATGACGGACGGACGTTTAACGCGACAAATTGACGTTAGTAATGGAATAAAGGGTTTGTTCGAATTCGCAAGAACTCGAACCCCCTCCCTCCCCCTGCCGCGCTCGAGGGAAAACTGATTGACGTTTCTCAAATTATTTCTCTATCAAAGGAGAAATATTTTTGTCTATGCACCAATTTACTCTTGTTTGTATCCAATTTATTTATTTTCTTTTTAAGATGCACTATTTATATCACTTGACTTATACACGAACATTTTTAATTCTTTTATCCTGTAAGTACTCTCTTTCGTTTAAACCATTTTTATTTTCTTTAAGTTCTTACCTATCGTCTTCTGATCTCTCAATATAAACATTATTTCGTTGATCTTGTCAATGAGAATAAAAGTCGATGCATCATTCTTCCTTCGTTGTTAAATCGAGACCCCACGTATCTTCTTCTTCTTCGTCGTCATCGTCGTCGTCGTCCTTCATCGTTCGTCCTCTTCAACTGTCTCAAACTCAATTCTTCTTTTTACACCGTGTTTGGTCTAGAACATGTTATACCCAGAAAATATTCGACGTCGAGAGCGATGCCAACCGATAAATCGGGCCGAACTGAGTACACGTATCGACAAAGTTTGTCCTTTCATATTAGTATCGTGTTTGAAGATTGATTATAGAAATAATGCCTCCATAAATCTATTACGTTCTAGACCTTCGACGTTGCTTCTATACGCACATACGTTCCCTAATATGTTATATGTCATTTTTATACCTTAAATATTGAATTCAACCTTTCCTTTATTTCACAAAGATCATTTTTTCTTCGGGAAAATTATACCTTTCATTTTATTCTTTTCGTATATTTTTCTTATCTATGATGAATTGAATAAAATTATATCGAAAAAGTATGGCATTGAATAAAATGTATCTATATTTTTGAAAAAACATATATACGATGAGAGAATTTTTGATCGAAACATTAGAGAGAACATTTTATCTCTCTTTCTCTCTTTCACACACACACATTTATTTTATTTTATTTAAATATTTATTTGCACATGTATATATATAAGTAAAATAATTCTTTATACAAAAATTAATATAATTTTCATAGCATTGTATATTTAAAAAAAAAAAAAAGAAAAACAAGTACTTGATGAAAAGAGAATATTTTGCTGTTGTCAAGTATGACTCATATATCCTTAATTACTTTGATTTCTATATTCATATTTGTATTTAAATATCAAATAATTTGAGATTCAATAATAATAATTATACATTTATCTTAAGATATATATATTATAAATCAATTATTAAATGAAAACAATTTATTAGCTTGTAATTAAACTAATTTTCTTTAATATAATAATGAAACAATCCTTTACATATTAATCTTAAAATATGTTTAATGTTCGATTTGCTACTTCAGTATCGTGTTGCCAAAAAAATATAATACTGAAATACGATATGTGTTGGAGTTTAGGTTGGGGGTAGGGAAATAGGAGTAAAAGAGAGAGAGAGAGAGAGAGAGAGAGAGAGAGAGAGAGAGATAGTGAGATAGAGAGAATGTAAAGAGGTATTGCTATAGTTTGGACCAAGCAGTCTCTCAGTCGAGTAGGAGCAAGCAATCAGTATATAATCCCTTGACTATTGCTACAGACAGTGGAACATTTTGTTCTCGAGTAAGATCTTTGTGAGTCCGATTCTCCCTTCTCGGATTCGAACTTGCCACTTTGAAACGGCCATACAGTTTCGATTTACCAAAGCTTTTTTCTCTCTCTCTCTTTCTCTCTTTCTCTTTTTCTTTCTCTTTCTCTTTTTCTTTTTCTTTTACTTTCCAAACGATTCCTAGCTCGTGTACAGTATCGACTAGGTAAAAAACGATTTGAATTGTGGAAAATGTTAGGGGGAAAAAAAAATAAAAAGAAAAAGAAATATCGTCCGAAGGTTATCGCATTGTATTTATCATTTAATACCTGCAGTTATTTTTTTTTTTTATCTTTATATCATATATCTTTCAAGGCTCGCGCGGTCGATGGAAAAGAGCAAAGTTCGAAAAACGTTGCATCGAGAAACATCTTTTCCTTTTCCCTTTTTTTTTCTTTTTTTTGCTTTCCGTTTTTTTCTTTTTTTTTTTTCCTTTCTTTTAACGTATTTAGAGTAAAAAAAAATTGCATCCAATTTTGTTATTAAACGCGAGAACGTTCAGTTTCATTGTGTGTTTTGCTTTGAATAAATAAAACAAAATGAAAACAGAACGAAGTAGAAAGAATGTAAAATTCATTTCGAATCGTCGAAGATTCGTTAAACAAACAAGCCGGAAATAAAGGAAAGTAAAGGAAAGGAAAGCGTTTTCCAAAATTCAGAATTCAATTCCACGGAAAGTCTGATTTTCCAGTAGGTTCCTTCAGTAGAGGCAAACGACAGGGTTGGGTTGAGGGTGTGCAAATAAAACAAAATTCTATCCTGTGAGTCGGATAACGCGCGTCGACCAACTCGCTCTTTCCTTTTTAATGGAGTTATCCTTGCTCGAGGATTCAGCATACAAATGAAATAATAGCGTAGAAATAATTTCAAGGGACAACATATCGGAAAATCTTACTTTTTCTTTTTCTTTTCCTTCTGCTCCTTCTTTTTCCTTAGGTTATTATTTTTATCGTTGAATCATTGTTGTTTTTTTAATTGTTTTGTTTATTTTTTTTTTTTTTTCTTTGCACATTTCT